TTTCGTCTTGATCTTGCCGCTGATGGCCTTTCTGTAAGCAACTGTCGTCCACTTTTGAATCAACCTCTTACTATCGGTGGAGAATATATCGCTTCTATGCGAGAGGATGCTCCAGAAATAGTCGTTATGGCTAATCCGGGTCTACAGGTATGCCATAATCATTCGCCTAGTCCTACCAACGCTTTGCTTACAAACATCATATAGCTTGTCTTTCTCCTTTAATCTGTGTATATTTGATGAACGTGTTAGCTTGTACTACCTGTGTAGGTGTGGAGGATTAATGCCATGGCGGAACAGCCCACGGAGCCTACCGAAAATTTCACCGTGCCAGGTGCCGAACTAACGCATTTCTACGACGGATTTTTGAGCAACGGGTGAGCAGTGCTTTCTGGTGATATTCTAGTTGTCGACTTCACTAATGACTGAGATGGCGCGAATAGTGTCTTTGTACTGTCAACAGCCTGAGAAATAAGCTTAACTTACAGCTCTGTTTCTACTTTTGATTGTGAAGGCTTTTTTCGCTTCACTGTGTCGTTCACTACGACTCGTGAGAAAGTGCTGTTTCTGAGCAGAAACGAGTGAAATCGTATTCTGCGTTTATTGTTTTGCTTTCACATGGATATAAGCGGTCTTCTTATAAGGTAATCCTAACTCGACTACATCATGATCTTTTCCGTTTTACAGAAGCGTTCATCTATTATCCTCATCACCCGACGGTCACTTGGACCACTCAAGAGTTCATGTTCTCAACTTGGAGAATCCGTCTCATGTGGTATGTGCTTATCAGGGTATTTTTAGGTTCTCACAAATGCAAAATTTCGTTAAGATCACCACTCACAACTGCACACCCGATCCAGAACGAGGAATGCCGCGACCGAGAAAGAATGCCGGCATCGATGGAACAGCTGGTTAGTCGCTATAGTTGCCTTTCCCAAGTTAAATGGGCGTAGCCCTGTATACGACTTACTGAAGGGACCCTCTCACTTTCACGAGCCTGAGAGCATTATTCTTAGTCTCGGGAAAGACACCGTTTGGTTGTACCAGTTAGACCAGGCAAACATGTTGAGATCTGATATTTTGAACCTCAAGCGAGAGGCGATTGAGCTGCAAATCGTATTGAATTTGATATGAGTTAGGTTACAATGTGCATTCAGATGCAATTCTCGTTGCTGGAGGCGAAATC